GAGGCTGTAAATCTTTACAGGAGCAGAAAGCCTCATCTTTCTCCTGCGAAACCGCTGGTAGTTTCAAACTGCTGACTTTGAGGTTGGCAGCCCGACTTGTAACCACTACACTACCAGAGTACCTTCTTGTTGTTGTTAAGTGCCATCGAGTCAGTGCCGACCCATAGTGACTCTGTATAGGGTTTCCAAGGAGCAGCTGGTGAGCTTGAACCACCAATCTTGTGGTTCAAACAACTTTGCAGTCCAGTGTATTAGCCCATGGCACCACACCAGGACTCCAGAGCACCTTAGCAGGGTATAAATATAAACATGGTAGAAGCATAGAAAGTATTCTGTTTTGAATAGACCTCATATGCCCTTCGGCTCATTGAGTTAACATGTACTTGATCTCATCTGCTTTTCTCTCTCTAGGAATTTGGAGTAGTCTCAAATACAAGATTGATTGCTGCTGCTACTTCTGTATGTAAGTGCAAAAAGTATATCCTACCTTAAGAAATAATTCTCAAGAAAGCTGCATAAGCTATAGATGCTTTTCAGTTTATTAGATCTATGAGAGCTTGTTGTGGCTTATTTTTAATTTCCTGAGGGCATCATAATTGTTTTTGGCTAAAAATTAAGTTGTTAAGAAGCATCCAGTCGATTACAACTCATAGTGTTTCCAAGAAGCGGCTGGTGAGTTTGAACGGCCGACTGTGTCCAATGCTTAGGGTGCCTTAAAAAAAGAAGTAGGCCAGTCAGAGCAATGGCTTCAAAGAGGACCTGTTGGACCAATTAAATGCAAGGCAGAGAGGTCCCCTAAGCAGGTTATGGCAGGTTTTCAGGATTCCAAAGGGATAATACTGATAGATTTTCTCATAGGATGCAGGACAATCTTGGGGGCTTATTATTAAAAAGTTTAAGAAAATTGAAAAATGCACTGGTAGGGAAAAGGCAGTGAAAGTTGTGCCAAATAATTTTTTTCCCATCATGAAAATTCATCTGCTCATTCTTTTAACAGTGGAGTTGTCCTATGAGAATTTTGTTGGAAAGCCTTGCCCTAACCTATAAGCTTGAATTTTTTCTTCAATTCCCCCAGCTTGAGAAATGCTGAGCTTGTTCTTCCTTTTTGGTTTTCTATATTGAAAGATTCTTTAGGCAAATTATTGAATGATACAGAAAGCATCAAGAGAAGATGGAATACAGAGTCACTCTACTAAAAGGAAATGGTTAATGTTCAACCATGTCAAGAGGTAGCATATGAT